GTGTACACTTTTAGTTTTATAGCGGGTCATATTATCCCAAAAAGTTGAAAGTGTATCCACTCAGCTACTAGGAAGCTTGAAAAGAACGGTCCTCTTGTTTCGCCTCGCCAGGCGGCTTTCGGTTAATAGGCTTCAAAGCTTTGTTGTGGAAGACTGTCCTCTTTGTGGAAGACTCTCCGATCCTATCTGAGCACCTGTAAATGTTTAGCCGTGGTGCTTCGCACCTTGTGACTGGAAGCTGATTTAGCCCCATGGCACGTATTTGCATCTTCCTGGCGTCAATGTCACTGCCAATCGTCTAGTTCTTGGTCTTGCCGAACTTGTTGTTGTCGACTCGATCCCATTGTTCTTTAGCTCTTGAGAATTGCCGTTTGGCTTGCGACTGGTCCCCCGGGTTGAAGAGGCCGTCCGACTTTTTCCATGCATTCACAGAAGCGGCCACCCCAGCACCTCCATGCCAGGCAGCATGAATCGAAGATCGCACCCATCCATTCTCGTGCATGTCGAACTTCTTGTCCATCCAGTTGGAGACCTCGGCAGTGTGACATCACTCTTGAAACTAGTGACATGTTTTAGCCTGCACGATCCGCATGTGTTTGCCAGCTGAGATGGTGACGCTTCGGAATCCGCCGGGATTGTACAAGTTCTGGGACATTTTGGAAACCTAGAGCAATGGGAGCGCCCTTGTTCAGCCGAAGATGCTGCAGGCAAGGGAACACGTCAGGTCTCCGCAGAGAGACTACTTAACGCTGAGCCGTTTGGGGCTAGGGCAGGGGGCGTTGCGGTTTCAAGCAACTTTTTAGCAGGTCCCGAATTGGCGCATATTGAGGCTGCTCTGGAAAATGTAGCACACACCTCCACACAAGGTCGGTACCATGCGCTACACTCAGTTGCGAAAGCGGTTACAGATTTAGAGTTGAGGTTTGTAATTCTGGTCTGGCACGTGGCAGTAGCCGTTGCGGTCTCAGAACATGAACTACGGCAACTATTGCAGATGACCTGGGTCTAGTGACAAACCTTCTCACCCCAAACCCTGAAACCTTCCTTTCCTGCAGCTGTATCCCCTTTGTCCTCCGAGTAGAATCTGCAAACGTATAAACCTTAAGCCGCAACAACTGAACCATACTTGGAGACTCAGTAACTAGTGAGTTTACAGACTTACCAGCACCATAACCCCAATGAGGATCCCTGTTAGGGTACCTATAACTCTACTTATTACCTACTTACTAAGTCCCCCGACCGTCCAAGCGGGCTAAATCTTCCATTGGAAGCCCATGTCACTCGAAGGATCTCAAGGCTGAATACATCGGCTCCATTTGGAGTTGTTGTTGTGGCTTATTGTCTACTAGTTTATGACTATTATTATTGAATCCCATGAACCTTTGAGTAATGTGCGAGCATTAAGAACTAGAATGGGGCGTTAGGGATAATATCATAGTAAGGTTAAAGTAGGGACTATAAGGAACGATGATTAGTACGGTAGAATAGGGACTATGACTTCTAATCATCGCCGACTTCTGAATCACTGGCGCCGTTCTTTTTGCGTCCAGCGTCCGCCTGTGAAAGGCTGACTGCATAAAGGGTCTCCGAGAGGCTCTCCCTTGCGAGTCTCGGATTTCATTGAATACTTGGGGCTTAGGGTTTCGATTTGGGTTTCGGCTTTGCAGTCTAAACGTTTAGGGGCTTGAAGGGGTACGGATGTGCGGGTTCTGGTGTAGAGATGTCTAGGGTGCATCGGCTTCCTGAAACCACCTTCCTTAGCAAAGGACACACAGGCCGGCATCTACAGGTACATCCTGAATCCTGTTAGTCTAATCGGCTAAACCATACCGAAACCTCCAAAAGTATGTAAACTAATGGCCCAACACCTCTAAAAGGCTGTTGCTCTACATACTTTTGGGGTCCAGGTACATGCTCGCCCTCGAGGTTTAGGTACCTTAGGGGCCGAGTACCCTTGCCCAAAAAAGGGTAGGGTCATATACACCCAACAATGTAAATGGTTACCTACCCAGACACTAAGAGCCCCTTATACTAGGATACCCAGTAACCTAAGAATAAAAAGGCCTCTCTTTTTGGTATTGGGTAACTTTATAAGGAACCTAGGACTACAAAAAAGGAATAAGGGTACTACTGGGCATCCTAGTATATAAACCCTATAGATCTCCTAAAGGAAGCCCTTATAGTACCCGGCTGCTAAGGACAGGAGAGACCGCTTGGGCTGCTGCCTTCTGGAGCCCCAGAGCACCGAGATCCGATTGAAAATTGCCAGGGCAGGGCGGTCATACCACATTCCTACGGTTGATGATATAAATCCTGCATGACCGATTATGAGGAATATACCATAATTCCCATAGTTTCGGGTCCTTAAGGTAATGCAGGATTTGTATCATCAGCAGTATACTCCCCTGAGAACCACAATAAACACATTATTCTCCTAAACTGCGTTTTGTAGGGGCCAGGGCTTCACTATGGTTTATAGCGTTTAAACGGGGTTTAGGATTTAGGGCTTGGGGGGTGAGGGCTCTTTGTTCAAAACCCTTCATTCAAGCTTTTCGACTGTAGGCCAAGCTGTCACACAGCTCTAACCACCCTTGTCCTTTTAGAAATAGACAGAGCCCTATACCTATATCCCTTAGTAGGAACTATTTAAAAAGGTCTACTAGCCGGTCTGTTTATTCTTTTGGGGGAACCATGAGAAAGGACAAGGCTGGCTCTAACTTGGGAGCAGGAATCCTCCAGGGTCGAACCAAACCCATAAACTCTTCCTGGACCCCGAAGGACCTAAATTTTAAGTGTTCCTTCATATGACCTCCCTGTATAAGTCTTTAAAGAGGTAGGCTATTTGGGGTTAGGGTTCAAGGTCAAGGCCATGTAGAGTAGAATCCAGAAAGTTGGAACATCAATATCTTCATGCCCTTAAGGTATAGTATAGGGGGTCCTCCAAACCCATGTTCCACTGTAGAGAGTTTGGGCTTGCGAGCTTTCGGGTGCAGCTTTTTGTGGATTTTGGGTGTCAGCCTTAATTAACCCCAAGGGTCCAAAGGACCCAATAATCAGGTACTCGGCTTTAGGATAGTAGTTATGTAGGTTAGGGTTTTTTTAGAGTATATGATTATCAGGTACTTGGACCCTTGGGGTAATGGGTTCATGTTTTAGGGCCTAGGGGTTCCATTAAAGCTTCAGAGGAGGTAGGCTTTGGGAGGCTCGTGGGAAATAATTGAGGCCCATGCCGTACCTTAAACCTCTGTATTATTCAAGCACTACGGGCGTGCGGTTTTTTTTGGGTGCAGGTTTCAAGAAGTCACTCTATCCCAATGCGATTTCCGGCTGCGCTTGAAAAGTGCTGCACTTTCTTTCAGCATCACAGCCTGCCTGGCTGAAAATTGCGTGCTTATCTTGCACAGTGTCCAACAAATTGTCGCTGTTACTAAGCATAGCTCATCGGAGGCATCTAAAGCTTTGCAGATCTTGGCAGTTTGTCAGGTCGAATCTAGTCGAACTTATTCCGCGGAAAAGACTCCCAGACCCGAACCTCATAGACAGAAACAGTGCTGAATGCAAATACACCAAGAACACGAGCAACTTACCTTCGGTTAGTAGGGAATGGAAGAATGGTAGTAATAGTAATTCTAATTGTTCCCTATTCCTCCATTCCCTACTAACCAAAGGCAAGGCAATAGGTGTGACCTTCGCAAAACAATGGAACTTGACGACTGAACCCCAAACCCAAAGGTTTGAAACCCAGCCGAAACGAACACTACGGTTGATGATATAAATCCTGCATGACCCAATATAAGGAATATACCATAATTCCCATAGTTTAGGGTCCTTAAGGTAATGCAGGTTTTATATCATCAACAGTAGTACACCTTTGGATCAGCCTTAGCCCTATAAAACAGACTGGAAGACACAAACCCAAAATAGCAAGTTCGTTACTTTCACGGCATTTCAAACAAGACACTTTCTCATTTATCAAACCCCCAAATTTATCGATATCTGTCGGTCCTGACACGAAGCCGAGCACCCTAAACGCCCAAACCCCGCCATTGCCCTATTCAGATCTTCCAATTCCAGGATTAACAGACTGTTTCTTTGGGGCTGAGTACCCTATAGCCCCAAAAGGTTAACATTTTGAAATTATGGTAGGGTTTTCTCAACCCCAGAAGGTTAAAGGTTACCTACTCAGCTACTAAGACCTAGATGCCACGTACGGGAGCCCCTCGCATGCCGTAGGATCCTTAATCCAAGGTAGTTTGGAAGGACGGCTAAGTGGAAGGACACGCGCCAAAGAAACCTAAACCTCTGAACCCCCTGAAAATGGACCCCTACACCCGCAAATCTTACAAACCTCTTCTAAAAACCTTAAGCTGCACTTTAGATCCCCCGGTTCAACGAATATCGGCTCAACTCCGAAGAGGGAGCTCCCTACCTTTTGGTTAGTAGGGAATGGAAGAGTGGTAGTAATAGTAGTTATAATTGTACCCCGCTCCTCCGTTCCCTACTAACCAAAGGGCAAGGCTCAAGACCTTCGCGGCCTCAGATCTCTATCAGAGGCCTCAAAAGCTGGGATGAAGGTGGGTAGGATCCAGGATCCCTTATATAAGGACTCTCATTTGGGAATATCCCACCTACCTTCATCCCACCTTTTGAAGCCCCGACTCTACCCTGGCAGGTTGGTCTCATGCGGCGCGAAGGTTCGACTGCGCCTGTCCCAAAGGCTCCATGTACCCATATGGGTGGTTGTCAAAATTACGGTCCCGTTTGGGGTACCCTAAATAATAGGTGCCGTACTATATGAGGGACCCAAAAAGGGACCATAATTTTGACAACCACCCATATAGTAGGTACTTAGGCCTTAAAGGTTCACTGTATAGGTACTTTAAGGCCGAAGTACCTACTATGTGGGTACATGGAGCCTTAGGGTGTGAGGTTTGGGAATGCACTTTTCGAAGGACAGCAGCACTTGCACTGCCAGTTCGAGATCCGAAACCCACCGTGCCTCATTTCTTCTTCTTCTGCAAGGACTTGATGTAGGCGGCGAGCTTCTTCTCCGCCTGGATAAGGCTAGAAGAAAGCTTCATGTTGCATCATCTAGGACCGACGATGATGACCACGACGGCGAAGATGACGATAGTCCGGAGATGATGGCCAACATGTCGAAGTTCAGGGATTCTCACTGGAGATTTAGCATGTAAACTTGTAAACTTTATCAGGGCTCTAGATACAATATGAGGGTTACGGCGGTTACAGTCTAGGATTTCAGGCATTCGCGCAAGGGTTCAGTTCCCGCTGGCCCCGATCTCACACGGTGGGATGCAGAAACGAAGCCCCTAAACGCTAAGTTTTGAACCCTTTAAACCCTAAACCCTGTAAAACCTAAACCCTGTAAAACCTAAACCCTGAACCCTAAACCCTAAAACCCTAAACCCTTAAACCCTAAACCACCTTCTTGAGCTCGCCCGATGCTTTGATGCCGGCCCTGATGTCGACCATGGCCTTGGTTGCTTGAATGCTGGTTTGGAGTTTAGGGTTTAAGGGTTTAGGTTTCAGGGGTTTAGGGTATAAGGGTTTAGGGGTTTAGGGTCGAAGGGTTTAGGGTTCAGAGGTTTAAGGGTTTATGGTTCAGAGGTTTTGGGTTTAGAGGTTTAGGGGCTTCGGGTTTAGGGTTCGGGGGTACGGCTTAAGGTGTAGGTTCTTTTGCTGAGGTTTGCGTTTAATGGCTGTCATGCGCCATGCTCCTCCGAACCAGGGTGCTGATCAAGCCCATAATCCGACTTAGACAGAATCGCTCAGGCATCGTCAACACATGGACAATTGTGAAGAGTTGCATGGAGAGTCCATGGGTTTCTCACCGGTGTTCGCCGAGTGTCGGTGTATCAACTGTTAAGACCCATACCCAATCCAATCCGAAACTGGTCACACATGCAGGCCCCAAACACAACTCCTACAACAAGTTAGGATCCACCATCTTTGCCACTCCAAATAAGCTGGAAGGTGAACTGCCCTTTGTATACAAAATATAGTATATATATATATATATGTATATATATATATATATACATATACATATATATGTGTGTACATAAACCCTAGACCCTAAAACCTGATCCATAATGTCAGACACTTAAGGCCATGCAGGATTTTGGCCCATCAGCAGAATCACCACTTGGAAGGTCGGGGGACTAAGTAACGAGTTATTTGCGAGACTTATAAGTACCAGAACCCCAAGTAGGATCCCTTTTGGGGTACTTATAACTCCACTTATTACTTATTACCCACTTACTAAGTCGCTGCCCTCCAAGCAGGCTTGTCGTAGATGCTCCAAGCCCTACAAAACAACCGTAACCCAAAGCTCATAAGCCCTGCAACAACCTAAACCCCAAACCCTGAACAATACACCCTGCACCACAAACCCTAAAGCCTGAACCTTAAACCCTAAACCCCTGAACACTACACCCTGACCGACACACCCCAAGCCCTAAACCCTAAGCCGATAGCCCTGAAGAAGCTCTTTTCGGCCCGGTCGGTCGATTCTCAGGGTATCGCAGCAAAAGCTCGCGAAGGCAGACAAAGGATCCAGGGACAAAGTCGCGGCATGTGGTTCCAGGGTTCTAGTTCAAGATTTATGTTTTTTTGGGGGTGTTTAGGGCTTAGGGTTTGGGGGGGTTTAGGGTTTATGCTTTAGGGTTTGGGGGGTTTAGGGTTTAGGGCTGAGGGTTTAGGGTTCTAATTCAAGGTTTATGGTTGCGGGGACCTTCACGGGTAGACTGGGTTTTCGGGGTAGATTATGCTATGTACTTCTAGGCACGCTATGGGGACTATGAAGACACACGGTTCCGAGCTATTCTGACGCTTGCATAAATCGCTATATGGATGAAATGTTTCTCCTCAACCTTGGCCACGTACGTCGGAAGATGTGTTGCTTTCGATCAGGACTTGAGGCTTACTGGTGCACGGTATGCCTGGACCCCGAAGAACCTATTTTCCCAGGACTTATACAAGGACATCGCAATTCGGAACTCTAGAGGCTTAGCGCATCATTCATGCTACCTCTTCACCTGGATCCCCTGCCTAGCTGTCGACGCTGCGTGGTGCACGCCAACAGAACGTGCTCGAAATGGATGCTGCGCTTCAGGACCCATAGCGCACAAATCGCCGAAAGCCAGATCAATGGTACTCCGAAGCTTAATTACCCAAAGGCTCCATGTACCCATATAGTACGTACTTAGGCCTCAAGGTACCCATATGGGGACCCCTTTAAGGCCTAAGTACCTACTATATGGGTACATGGAGCCTTAGGGTTAATTTATGGCACTACATACATGGACCCTTGAGGGCTAAGCCCTGAAACCATCTAAACGATATTTCTAACTCGAAGACCTAGAGTGAAGCAAAGACAAACCTTATGTGAAATGGTCTCCGGGCCTTGAGCCCTAAACCCTCAGTCCCCAAATGCTGCTTAGATCCTGAAATCCCAGCTACCTAAAGCACCCAAAACCTAAACCAAAACCCTAGAACCAGAGCCATCCCACCATGAGGGTCCCTAGAGCTTCAGGTACTTGCGAAGGGTGGCCTTTAAGGACTGAACTAAGCTCAATATAGGGCTCATCGGGAAGGCATTTAAGATATAAGGCTACAAATCTTAGGCTCTGGTTTTCATTAGGGATTCAGAGATGTACCTATTTCGTATATCTATTGCAACCCAGTGACGGCCGAATAAGATTCTTTGTGTAGGTACATGGACCCTAGTAAAACCGGAAATTGGACAACTAGTCACCTAACCCCCTACCTTAGCCCTGAAGAACCTACGTTTTTAAGGATTTATGTAATCAAATCATAATAGGGAACCAAAAAAGGTAGGTTCTTCAGGGTTCAAAGTAAACCCTACAATAACTTGTCATTCTTAATTTCGGGAAGCGGGCCCGTACTTCAAGCCTCAAGGCTGCAATCCTTAAGCCCCCAATCCCAAGTCTCTAAATCGTGAAGTCTCAAGAAGACTAGTGAAAACCAAAAGGCAGCGTGAATTCCCTATCTCACCTGTAAACAAACAACATTAACATCCGTATATGCGATGGGTCCGAAAAGGTAAGCGAAAACTTCATCCCGACGGACGTGGGGCGACGAAATCAGGGCCCCCCTCATCTTCTTAAGTGTTTTGCACTTAAGTTATTGATTGAGTTCTTCGTGGCTTTAAGTTTCAAGGATGGATCGGTCATGTCGGTTCCCTCCTCCCTTGGGCCTTGGGCGTTGTCGGGGTGTCGGGCTGATTTCTGGTGTGTTAGAAGGTCCTATTCGGATATAAAGGGTGTTGGGTGTTTCTATACCCCCCTTAGAACCAAAATAAACAATAATATGTTGAATATTCTCTTGGGTTTTGTATGACCAAAATGAATAGAATGAGATTCCTGCGGAGACTATGGGTTTAGGAGGTTTTGTTTTATAGACTATGAGACGATGTTGTAGGTTATTTTCCCTAAACCCCTACACCCCTGAACCCTAAACCCTGGATGAGTGTCCCTCCCGTGTCCCGTGGATCTTGGGGATTTGCTTACTGGCGTCGGGTTCTCCATCATGGGCCCGCCGTCACGGAACAGACTCCGTTTGGATGCCTGGAGTGCTTTGTTAACTAATGTTGGAACCTGATTAAGAAACCCTGGCCCTACAACAGTAGGCTTCATATAAGGAACCCGAATAAAGGCCCAAGGCTTCTTAATCAGGTTCCTACATTAGCTTGGTTCTGCACGTCTTTGACCATCTTCCTGCATATCACCCGTGGCCTATACCTACGAGCACTAAGGCTCCACGTGACCATATAGTATATGCTTACGCCTTGCAGTACCTACATAGCAGCCCCACTAATTAATTAAAGCCTAATTACATAATATATACGCAGATAATTCGATGAACACCATACACTCGAAACCCTGTCTGTGTTTGATAGGGGCCCGTCGGTTTGTAACAACCCCCATAGAGCGCATACTCTGCCGCGACGGAACAGAGACTCTGACTGAGGGGCTCAGGGATCCAAAAAGGGACCATAGTTTTGGGGTTTAGGGTTTAGGGGACAACGACCCAAATGATTCCAATGCTTTGGGTAGAACGATGGGTGCCGTGGATGTAGGGCTTCGGATGCAGGGCAAGAACAATCAGAGCCTGCAAGCTTGGAAAAATCCTCATGAGCTCTTGTAGCCTGGCAAAATCGAATCAGCTCAGCGCGTCATCCAAGTTCTCGTTTCTTATGCCACCAACACTTCCAGAGCGACCTCAACGGTTCGATTAGGCTTTTGGGCAAAGCATAACTCCTATAACTCTATAAGTACATCAGCAACCATGAGAGAATACTACTGTATTGGTCCATTCTCAGACCCCCCTCCTCATAGTCTATAACTTATAACCCTATGGCGCTGGGTTTGGATTTTCAACACCCGTGATTCCCGACTCCAAATCCCTAAGTCTCCATGTAGCAATATAGTATTATATTAGGCCTCAAAGTACCGATATAGGAACCCCTTTAAGGCCTAAGTTTATACTATATGGGTACATGGAGCCTTAAGGAATATGATCCAGAGTTTCAAGCGGGCCGCCCGGACGTCAAACAGACCCTACTTCTCCCTGCTTCAGGCTTCCGTGTTAAAGGTGTGCAAGGGTTAAGGGCTCATAGCTGGTTAAGATGGCTACGAGCATCTATCTTTATCCTCAGTTCGGCCTGCAAGCTTATGACAGAGGTTAACTGTTAACTGTCGTTCCCTAAACCCGAAACCCCTCAACCCCCAACCTCGCTTCTAACTTCCAACCGGTCATCTGCTGAACTGCTCTCTAATCGGGTTAAAGGTACCCTAGACCCCAAACCTACACTTATTGGGTGCAGGATTTGGGATTCAAGGGCTTCGCACTTAGCTAGCGTGGAGGGCGTCGACTTTGAGGCTCAAAACAGCCCAAGCAGCTTTTCTGGCAGCGTCTCGGTCGCCCACCACTGCAGAAATCAAAACCCCAAGGCATGATTATGTAGTGCTATGAGGAGGGTCGTGTTTGTAAGGGGCGGCTTAAATATGCGACAGCCCAGGTCTAGGCACGTGGGCCTTAGCTAGGGTTCACTTACTCCCCCAATAAGCCACAGAAATAAAAGGTTACACTTTCCGAGTCCTACTGAGCTATAAGAAGCCAACAAGTTTAAAGGTCGGGTATTGGGGATCTTAGTTCAGTTCAAGAACTATCAGGCTCGGGGGGTGGTGGATTACCCGGGAGTTGTCTTCTCCATTGACTAAAAGGGTTGCGGAAAGATCTAGTGAACCCGAAACAAGTTTATGGTTCGACTCGCACAGAGGCCTGGCCTACTTCCCAGGATTTGCGTGAACTTGGACGAAAGCGTCCGATCCAGACAACAAAACCATGACGCAAAACCGCTTGAAAAACAGGCAGTGGCTTGCCCAGAGCTTCTGAATAGAGAAAAATGTAGGGGCCTTGATAATTAGAACAGGGTTTTGGGGCCCACTATA